TTGCTATACATTCTGGTTTTTATTGTTTCTATACACCAGAGGTGTTTCTTTATTTGGTAAAGCTATTCTTTTACCACTTTCTGGACATTCTCTAAAAGAATAATAGGATGTACATTATTCAAATCATAGTTATAATCTTTTCTTTTAGGAATCAGGTATAAAACACCAATTTTCTATTTCAGCAGAATATTCCTAGTCTTTATACACTTTAACAGAAGCCTTGTACAAGCTTCTTTCATTTTTGTACTGATGTTTTTGAGTACTAGGTACATGATGCCCAAGAGACCTGGGGCAGAGTTATTTCGTGTTTTTTGCAAAGCTTCGTTCCAATCTTCTGTTGTTATTTTATATGATACCTCTTTGTACTATTCCTCGTCTATATTCTCTTTAGGATTATATTGCTCTGCCCAGGATATACTTAATAACTCTATATCCATGTTTTACTTTTTAAATTGCTTCTCGAAAAAAGATTCCACCTTTCCTATAACTTCTATTTTGCTATTGACCAAGGAGATATAATCTTCTGTTTCTTCACATACTCTATCTAACTTGATTCTCCAGTATAGTTTTTCTAATATGCTATTTAGCATACTTTTTTGGTTTGAAAAGATATTCTTACATCTTTCTTCTATTTTCTTTTTAATACTATACTTTTCTTCCGTTAGTTTCATTTTGCTTCACACCTTTTTTGTGGTCTTTGCAATATGCTCTAGTTGTTTGTAGGTGTCATGTGACCATGTGTGACTCCACATGACTGAAGCTTCCTCTAACTCTGTTTCAATCACAATGTTTATGTTTTTTAGAGCTTTGACTAACTCTTCTGTTATTACCTGCCTCATTTTCTTTTTGGCTTTTCTGCAAAGCTTATTTACTTTGTTAGCAATTTCTCAGAGCTTGTGAGAGGACTCTTATCTACTTTAGGGTTTTTCTCTACCATGGGTCTTGCTTTTGAGAGAGTTTTATTGGCTCCTTTTCTTACCACAGTTTTGATAATATCCTACTCTTTGTCTAAAGCCTCTTGACTTTCTTCTCCTCTTAAAATGCCAGCTAATTTTCCTAATATTTCCACCCATTTTAATTCTTGGCTCGTTTCTAAAGCGGCTGTTTTTTGCGCAAAATCTTCCCAATTGCCTGGTTTGATTCTTTTGAGGTCTATATATATCTTTTTGGTTTTGGCTCTTTTTCTTTAAGCTTTCTTTTGTATGTGTCTATGATTCTCTTGTTCTAACCATATCATGATCATGTGATAATCACTTTCTGTTACCAGGTCCATCTCTTGTACTTTGCACTTTTTTAAATCTTCAAACCAATTATCAGAGACCCACATATAATCAATTGTTGTGTCTTTTTCTGCACCTCTTCTTGTAGCTATTTTTCCTCCATCTTTCACTCTCTCAAAGGCATTTTTAAAATCTCTATCTATAAATTCCCAGATAAGAGTTTTTCTATTTAAAGTTGTAGCTCTTCTCCCTATATTATAGTTTATTTTTCCTAACTCTATATTGAAGTCTCCCATTACTATATATTTTGTCTCCTTATTCTTGTATTTTTGTTTTGCTCGTTTTATTACCTTTTGGCAAATTTCTTCTTCAACTTCACTATATCATTTGGTGGTATGTAAATCACTAACAAAACCCACACTTCTTCTTTAAAGATAAATGTCGCTTCAATAAATATGGTGACCACTTCAGAACTCTAGTGTCACGATTGAAAATCGATCGTTGCTATATTCTAACTGAATTAAGCGATCGATCACATATTTGTTTAGGGTGGCGTACAATAGTAGTATTAGATTTAGTAGATTTGGAATATTTGGGATAATTGGGATATTTAGCACATACGGCATATTTAGTATAATTAGCACATTTGGGATATTTAGCATATACACAAGTAGTATATAAATGCGGCATTTATGCTTATGTAGAATATAGATATTAGATCTTACATAATAAAGTAAATACTTACCCGGCTAGATCTACGCCTCTTTTGAAGGTGGTATAAAATTCGTTATTACATTTGGTGGTTGAACTGTGAGATACGAAGCTCCAAAGACTGTGTGTATTTGACATTGAAGTCAAAATTTTGTGTGATTGAGTTAAAGACAGAACCCTGTGTGATTAAATGTCGAATTTAAATCCTGTACATTGTAATATCGAAGTCTAAATTCTGTGCATCATAATGTCAAAGTTAAAACGCTGTGTGATTGAAATATCAAGTGATTGAACACTAAAGTATAAATTCTGTGTGTTCTAATATTAAAGCTGAAACCTGGTGTGATTGAATGTGGAAGTCTAAATCTTGTATGATTAGACATTGAAGCTGAAAATCTGTGAACAAACAAAAAGATTGTGATTAGACATCGAAGCTGAAATCTGTATAAACAAACAAAAGAATCCAAGTAAAAGCTCCCTGGGAAATTAACTTGAATAAACGACAACTCCGATAAATTAAGGATCAGATTAATAAAATAAACTCCCATATTACATATTAGGGCGCAATAAAAAGTTAAATTGATTAGTAATCGATTGATATATAAAAAAAAAAAAAAACTATTTTTACTTAGCGACAAAACTAAGAGAGCAACAACTTCTAAGAAGCATAAAGAACCAGAACCAAATAACAGACGAATACCAAGAACGGAAAAAGAACTTAATTAGCGAAAGACAAAAAAAAAAAAAAAAAAAAAAACTTCTGGAACTGGTGGACGAAGAATGGAAGACCAGAAAAGTGTAGTGTTACTGATGAAAATGATCGTAGAGGTAATGGATAAATTAGTGAAGGATGTCAAACCATTACAAGTAGAACAACAACATCTCAAGCACCGAATATGTTACGAACGTCGAAGATCAGAGCTTAAATCTTGGAAAAAAGAATTGAATAACGATGTATACGAAGTAGTATATGTGGAATTAGGGAAAAACTTGGATAAACATTGTCGTTATGGGCCACGGCTATGTATGTCGAAAACTGGGACATTTGGCTCAAGATTGTCCGGCTCAAATATTTAAGGATGGAAGTTTAATAAACAAACGTATAAAAAATCTGGAGATAAATGATGTAAAGTTTATGAAGATTGTGGATGATGATGAAAAGAGGTACAAAAAAGTCAATCAAAAAATTAGCATGAACAATAAAGAAGATAAATCAAGAATGAAAAAAGTGATGAATGATAATATAAATGGTCAAAAAAATACAGAAGAAAAAGCAAAAAGTAAACACAATCTTGAAGGTCTTAATAGAAGGAATTGCTCGAATATCGTCAAAAATCAGCAGAGACAAGTCATGATAATGGAACATATAAGGGCAGATACTGTGATGAAAAAGGAGCTAGAGTCAAAAAGAATAATAAGGCACTTAGTAGGTATTAGAAATCAGCTAATATAGGGAACATTGTTGCAATAAAAAGCTCTAGTCAAAATAAAACAGAAATAAAGGATACCAAAATTATGAATGGTAAATATGATATGATCTACGATATAATAAAGGCATATTTTGATGATGAAAAATGCGAAGTGAATCAAGAATGCTCTAATGATAGTAAGTGCGAAGGAAGGTTCGATAAAATGGACAATTGCTGGTTAGATGACTTGGAAGCTGATATTGATTGGCTGCTAATAGTTTCAAAGAACGATGTCGTTTGTAGACATAGTACTGACAAGGATGAACAAACTGTTGTAAAAGTAAATCAGAAAACATTTGATGCTAGTGAAGCACCTAACCTTGAATACTGTTATCGAAATGGAGTTGGATATGAAATGAACAAATATAAGGCATTCAACTATTATCAAAAACCTGATGATGTGAGTTATGGCAGTAAAGCATACGATCTTGGGGACTACAATCGAAATCAAACTAACATCGAAGAAGATGAATATAAGGCATGTACTTACTATCAAAAATCTACAAGCATGAGCAATAGCAATGGAATAAACAACCTCGAATATCAAGATGACCCAGTTGAAATTTGTGTTGAAAAGGATAATCATAAAACTCTTACCCCGAAGAAAGATCTTGAAAAAGCCTGTGAATCATGGCAAAAAAGTGTTACAGAATTTCGAAGAATAGTTGCATGTAATAAAAGTGGCGAGAAACTGAAAGGTAACTACTTGCATAATCCCTGGAATCAATCAATATATAAAATGCGTTCCCGGGCAATTGACTCTGTAGAATTAAACTAGTTCATAGAACGAACAAGCTAGGTGGGAGAAAATGTCACGATTGAAAATCGATCGTCGCTATATTCTAACCGAATTAAGCGATCAATCACATATTTGTTTAGGGTGGCGTACAATAGTAGTATTAGATTTAGTAGATTTGGGTATTTGGGATAATTGGGATATTTAGCATATATAGCATATTTAGCATAATTAGCACATTTGGGATATTTAGCATATACACAAGTAGTATATAAATGCGGCATTTATGCTTATGTAGAATATAGATATTAGATCTCCCGAATTAATAAAGATACTTACTTGGCCAAATTCACGCCTCTTTTGAGGGTGGTATTTTATTAGTTATTACACTAGCTAAATATTTTTCAATACCTTTGTATACTAAAAGTGCCACCCCTGAACTCTTTTTCTTTTCTTCTGCTGCTAACGCCCAGAAGCCAATATACTTGTTCTCCTTGTTAATCTGCCAAATACCCTTTCTATCTTGTATATTCGTCTTACATAAGCCCAAAATATTTATGTTTTTCTCTATTGCAAAATCTATCAAGCTATCTATCTTACATTTGTTTATTTTAACCCCATTTATATTATATACCCCTAAAGTTACCACTCTACTACTCTCTCCATAGCCTTCTTTTCTGAACTTAGTGGCCTTGCCACCTTTTTCTCTTGCTACACCTGTGGCAACTTTTAGGAGCGTCTGGGGAATGGGCTTCTTCTTCTGAATCTGTTTTTCGTTTCTTGTTGAGCTTTGATCTTTTCTAGTCTGCCTAGTATTTTTGTTAACATGTCTTTAATTTCTATAGGCTTTTCTTCATCAACCTGCACAATCATCTCTGGTTGTTTACCCTTGGAATTGTTTTTTTGTTTAAACTGTCGCTTAGTTGAATCTTCATTTTCTTTGTTTTCACCAAAGTCATATACTTTCTTTTTCTCCAGAGTGTCTAAGGGTTCTTCTACTTTACTATCCCTTCATAATGGGTTTTCTTCTATATATGCTAGGTTATTTCTATGTGTATTACTATTCTTCTTTTTATATTCTTTACTTCTTACCTATTGCAATTTTGCATTGTAGTAATACACTCTTTTACTCAGAGCTGAACACAAATCCTCCTCTGATTCAAAAAAACTAATGCTATACTCCTTTGATTTTTGTTGCTATTGTGGGATATATACACTGCCTGTGCTTTAACTACTTTCAATTGTCTCAGTAGCATTGTTTCTAGCACTGACTTTGGGATGTTCTTGACTATAGCCTTATACTCTGCTCTATCTTCGATAATATCTCTTGCGAAATTGCCCTTCGATATTCTTAACATTTTTCCTTTCTCAAAGTGTACCACCTAAACTTTTTCCAATAGAGCCTTTCTTCTTTTATTTCTGAAAGTTATCACGAAAGATACCGCTTTCTTTTTTTCGAGGAGTTCATATTTTTTAAATTGTACCCGGCTATAAAATTGGAGACACCTTTGTATTCTTATTGCTTTTATGTCAAGTGAAATATCCCATAATGTAAAACATTTTTGTGGAAACACCTTTTTTCGTACTATCATAGAATTTTGCCTCTTCTTTTTTTTTTTCTTCTGCTAGTGATTGCCTATTTTCTTGACTAAAATTTGTTTCTTCATTCTTTGGCATAGCAGGTTCTTTGGTTTCGTTTAGAGGCTCTTCAATTACTGCTGACTTTTCTTTTACTAATTCTTCTTAGGAGGTTAAATTTGTCTCTATTTGTTCATGCGCCGGCTTGTATTTATTTATGTTTAATTTCTCTAAAACTCTATAGTCTATACAGCCACATTCTTGATCATTTAGAACTTTTTTTATTCTAAGTACCTCTTTAGGCTTTACTGTTTGGTTTTTGTTGGCATTTCTAACTCTAAGAAACTCTAGCTAGTCATATAGCTCAATCATATTTCTAAAGAGGCATATTAGCTTGGTTCTGTTCCTGCCATTTTAGCTACCTCTCTGTCTTTTCTTAAAACTTTGTTTTTATGTTTATCTTTAACTGCATTAAATTCCTCTGGGGACTTTCCAAAAAGGTTTTTGTATATTTCTATTTTTTTGCTCCCATTCTATTTCAGAGGACGGTGATTGATATTTGTTTGTCACGTGTGTGCTGACGTAGTTTATGTGGTTGTATATCAGAATCCCGACACACAAAATCCCAAAACACAAAATTCCGGCAACAAAATCCCAATAAACAAAATCCCGACAAATTAAAATTCTAAAGCTATTAAAATTAGAATTTTAATTTGTCGGGATTTTGTATATTG